TCGATCCTGGAGGATCTAGCAATGAGGTCTTCGATGTCTAGGAAACTAGCTAGCCGAAGATGTACCCGTATTTCAGGCCTTAGCCGTTCGATGACGGCACCAAGGAGGTTGCTTAGCGGTCCGTTTGGGTGTATTCGCTTAAATAGCGCTTGCTTTTTTAAAGCAAAAGTTTCCACGTCTTGGTGGTGAAGTTGATTTTCCGTGTAAAATAGCGTCGACGCGGTGGCCAAATTTTCGGGGCTGTTGTAATTAATGACGAGCCGGTGCAAGATGTCGTCGAAGGATTGGCGTCTGCTTAATTGCTTTTCCACAAAAAGTTTGGCGTCGCCCTTTACTCTATTTAGTAGGACGCGCTTCGCATCGTCCCGACGGACGGCGTTATCTTGGCAATATGACGCAATGTCCTGTGCAAATTCGACAGGGTCTTGTTCGGGTAGTCCATTAAATGTACTCAGCCACGGACTATTCATGTCGGACTGTAGCCGCATTTGACTCACCAAGTTTGCTAGTATAATACTCATATCGGGGTTTTGGGCCATTGTTTGGCCAAAACTACTGTGGGCAAGGGGGGCCTCTCTGGGCGCCCTTTCAGTGACGCAAGTGTCTCTGTTTTCAAATGTATTTGGCATACTTTGCCTCAACACTGTGTTTCCTCTCTGGTTTGGCAATTGATTGCCCCAGGAGTCAGTGGTAAGTTGGGGAGCTTCCCCGTAGGGTTGAGCACCTGGTGCCGATACATTTGTTCTGTCTGAATTCCCCACCAGGGATGCCATGTCGCGCAATAAGCTTTTCTTCGCCTTAAAGGATTTGAATTGCCTGTAATCTTCCAGGTCATCAAACATAGCGCGAAGACACTCTAGTTCCGCTGCGTCGGGCGGACTCATGCTTGTTGCCGCGAATGCGACTTCAGGCTCGTTACTTTCTACAACTGTTTCGGGGCCTTGGACCAAAATTTCGTCCAACTCGTCGAGAGTGGCGCCGTAAAGGTCTGGACCATAACTGTCCATTGTCGAAGGTGTCGAGTAAAGTCAATGTCGGGATGCCAGTTGCTTTTGTCAGGTTTAGCAACAACCTTTCTGTTTCTTCCGCGATCAAAAGTACAACTTCTCAGTTGTACTGAGAGGAGGTCCCGCCAAAACCACCCCGTTGGTTCTTTGTAGAAAATCTGCGAACCAGCAACCTCCAGAAAAAGAGAAATGAAAAGAACTTATTCTTGGGGGAATTGGATCAGGGCTCCAACTTGGTTCTTGAAAGCCAAGGGGTCAAAGTTATACTTTTTCACGGTTTTTGAACTTCTTAATTACAACGACAGACGTTGAAACTCGGATGGCACTCCGAGGAAACCGTCGGGCGGTTTCGAGAAATTAAAGTGACAAAACAAACACGGGGGAACGGAAACAGTGCACCAGGTCCTGGGGGACCAAAGTCTGACCTTTTAAGGTTCGTGTGGTTTGAGTCAAGTTTTTGTCTGTCGTGTGTTTTATTGTTTATACGGAGATTTTTCCTAAAAAACTCCTGAAAAATTCAAGCTGCGGGTAGTATCGACTTCTTGTCTTTTTTAAAAACTCTGTCGCAACTTGGGTAGTGTTTTATACGGATATTTTTCCTTAAAAAACACCTCGAAAAAATCAAGCTGGAGGTAACTTCGACTTCTTGTCTTTTTTTTTAAAGTTCTGTTCCAACCTGGCGGATGCTATCTAAAGCTTTAATATATTACATTTATACGGAGATTTTTCCTTAAAAAATTCCTTGAAAAAATCAAGCTGGAGGTAGCTTCGACTTCTTGTCTTTTTTAAAAGCTCTGTTCCAACCTGGCGAAATTTTATTTACAGTATTGATAATGGGATTTTTCCTCTAAAAAAATTCCAAGAAAAATTCAAGCTGAGGGTAGCTTCGACTTCTTGTCTTTTTTAAAAACTCTGTCTCAACTTGGTGAATGTTTGACTGAAATTGGGTTTTTTCCATAAAAAATTCCAAGTAAAAAATCAAGCTGGAGTTAGTCTCGGCTTCGTGCCTTATTTAAAAACTCTGTTCCAACTTGGCGAGTCATTTTTCGTAGAAATTGATAGTAGGCTTTCTTAGCTTTAATTCGGTACGAAGGAGCTTTCAGAGAAGTGGATTTCCCTAGAAATCCGAGGAGATCGTCGAGGACGGACACGGGGGGCGGAGCCTTTGAAGAAGGCGTCCAAAAAATAATGGTGACAATTACGCGGTGGAGGAATCTAGGATTTCCTAAACGGAATACTGCACGATTGTGCCGAATTAGAAGCGCGGGTTCGGTTACGAACCATCAGAATTTCAAACGAATTTTCTTTTACTTCCTGGCCATTATCTTGAAAAAGACTTCGCCGGGTATTGTTGTTGGCAATTTTAAGTGGAGTACTCCCCTAGGACATCAGCCTCCAGTGCGAGGACCGATGCAGGTTTCCTGCCTGCGAACTGAGCTTCTGGAAGCTTTAAACGCGCCCGAGGGATTTATCGTTGGCTCTCTTCGCTTCTTTCTTCGTGCCCGTAGGCAGCTCGCACCAGTAACACAACGAGAGGCTCGTCTCCCGGCCAAGAAATATTGATCCCAAGGGAAGGTGACCTACGCCGCCGTGTTACCAGCCTTATACGCGCTCCAAGACACCGGGTACATGTCACAGTGCCTCTGTCGAGAAAAAGAATTTCGAGAGCTCTTCTTGTCTCCGGCGCGGAGAGCGGGGCAAGTAGTGGAGTTGAAGACTCGCTGACTACCTGGAAAAGACTGACTAAAACGTCGAAAACGGGCCTCTTTTATAGTTTCTGGCCGCTACCCTTCACAAGCTCCGCCCACCAAAAATTAGCCAATCGGCGTGCAACGCAACAGTGGCAGAACTATAAGTATCAGGACGGACGGAGGACTGAACGGTTTTATGACAGTGACCCCCCCCGCCCCGACTATCAGATTTTTGTATACAGTTACAAACATACCAGGAAATCAGAACACAGACCTGATCGTCAATGGCAACACAATCTACAGGGAGCAGGACAAGGCAGAAACCTTTGCAGAATATTTCGCAGCAGTATTCGAAGCGACACCAAGCGACAACGACTTACATACTAACATAGAAAACTCAATGGACGCATTTGTCTCGCTCAAATACCCTATCCCGCCAGTGGTACATCAACGGATGCTGGTAAAACCCGCGGAACTCAAACAAATTATTAAAAATCTACCCAACCGCAAAGCACCCGGACCCGACTCACTAACAAACCAACTCGTAAAAAACCTGCCAAGGAAAACTATTATACAGCTCCTACAAATCATAAATGCAATTTTAACCCTACAACATTTTCCAAAGGCATGGAAACAGGCGCACATAATAGTTTTCCCCAAACCCGGAAAAGACTTAACCCTCCCACAATCCTACAGGCCAATTTCCCTTCTCAACTCCTTGAGCAAAGTTGCAGAGAAATTGATTCTACGCAGGGTCTCCGTTATAGTAAACGAACTAGAATGCCTCCCCAAAGAACAATACGGATTCAGACCGGAACACAACACCACACTAGCAGTAGCGAGGGTAGCTCAAGACGCCTCAGCGACATTCAATAACCGCGAGAGCACCTTCCTACTGTTACTCGACATAGAGAAGGCTTTTGACAAAGTGTGGCACAAAGGCCTTCTCTACAAACTACTGACTACGCACAACCTACCCCTTCATCACGTATCCCTCATTGCATCCTACCTACAGGACAGATCCTTCCAAATCAAAATCCAAAACACCCTCTCTCAACCCAAACCCATTAAAGCCGGCGTCCCCCAAGGCACAGTCCTCTCCCCAACCCTCTTCAACCTGTATATCGCAGACATCCCCAAATCCAACAACACGAAAATCATGATGTATGCTGATGACACTGCAATATACACCAGTGCCTTTTTCGCAGAAGACGCGAAAAGGGCACTGGCAGTGCACATGGACCTACTGACACCTTACCTACAGACCTGGAAAATCAAACTAAACACAAACAAAACAGAACTACTGACAATTACAAGGAAAAGAAAGCATACCATCATGATTCCTCCCCTAAAACTGGACGAAACTGAAGTTTTACCCAAAACTTCAGTTAAATACCTGGGGATGGTTCTTGACAAAACGCTCAGGGGCCATCCCCAGGTAGCCCACACGCTACAAAAGGCACACGCCGCCGAACGCATCCTCAACCCCATATTAAGAGCCGGTTCCTATCTTAGCCCCAGGAACAAAATCCAAATCTTCAAATCAATCATCCGCCCGACACTACTGTACGGAGCACCTGCGTGGAGCTTCATCTGCAACTCTGAAAAACTCAAACTCCAACGCTTCCAGAACCGCTTCCTCAAAAACGCCCTCTCCCTCCCTATGGGCACACGAACAACCGAAGTACACAGACTTGCACAAATCAACACCATACAGGACTATTTTGAAGAAGTTTCGACAAACTTCTTCAGAAAATCACGACAAGGCCCCATCCTAACCAGAAACCTCTCAACCCTCAAACACGACCCTCAAAACCCCCTAAAACATAGACCAATACATCACCGACTGACCATCTACTACGAACCGCCGTGACCAGGAGCGCAAAAATCCATCACCAGATTTAGCACCATTAGCGCTAAACCAACCTCAGCCGCCGCAAACTAATAGACACGCCTGGGCGACTAGCCCCACCCCGGCGGCTAGACCCGCCTAGGCAACGAACACTAATCAAAAACACGAACAGCGTCGAGGCGCGCCACAGCGCTCCTCGGCTCAACCAACCTCGACCGGTTGCTGCGATCCTGGTACCGGCGCTTCGCTAGTGGGTGACTACACACCCAGTAAACGTGAAGTAGGGTTTTTCGGCAGGTTTTCCCTACATAACCAACAAGACAAATACGGAATGACTACAGAAAACTGAAAGCACTTAAATTCGGACAGAGGTTGAAACTGTGAATTGACCTAAAAGTGGTGGATACTTGCCACAATAAAGAGTCACAATTCTGCCTGGAAGTCACTTACCTAATCTAAATTACTGTGTTTACGGAGGTCAGCCAATAACATCGGCCTAACTGACCACATATATTTCTATAATTTGTTATAAATAAATTAATAGTAATAAGTAGCGGTTAAGTTTCTAAAACTCTGTAAATATTATTATGTGTTTAGACTAAGGTAGTATTAAGTATTATTGTAAATATTGTAAATAAATGACATCAGCTCAGCCCCCCCGCCCCGACTATCAGATTTTTGTATACAGTTACAAACATTCCAGTTAATAAGCTTTGTAATGCTGATCCAGATCTAAACTCGTACAGCTCTTAGATTTTTTGACAGAAATTTGCATACTCTTTATTCAGATCTAGCCTATTGTTAAATGTTATCCTCTCTGCTGTTTTGTGTTTAGGACTTTCTATACTAAAATATTCACATTCGAATACATTATTGTGGATATTTATAGTAAACGAACGAATTAAATTGGATCACTGGAAAGTGGATTGATCAAAAAAACTGATTACGGCCCTGTTGCCGTATGCTAAATGGCTGGAACTAGTCTTCATTGATGCTACTAATTATTAAGAAGTTTTTGGTGAAAGAGCAAATTAAATCGAAAAAACTGACTACAGCCCTTTTGGCGTATGCTAAATGGTTGGAACTAGTCTTCAAAGACGCACACTAATTATCTAGAAATGTTTGGTGAAAAAATTAATGAAATCGAGTCAATAGAAGCTGAATTAATCGAGAAAAATTGATTACGGCCCTTAATTAATTGAAAAAAAAATGGAATAGGGCCCTTTTGGCACATGCTAAACGGGTAGAACTAGTCTTCAAATAGGCCAATAATTATTTAGAAATTTTTGGTAAAAGAATAAATTGAATTGAGTCGATAGAACGTTAATTAATTGAAAAAATAGAATACGGCCCTTTTGGCATATGCTAAACGGGTGAAACTGGTCTTCAAATACGCGACTAATTATTTAAAAATTTTTGGTAAAAGAACGAATCTAATCGGATCGCTAGAACACGAAATAATTGAAAAAATAGAATAAGGCCCTAACGACATGTGCGCAGATGGTCAAAATCGGGTTTTCGGATATTCCCCTAATAGTTGGGGTTGCGCACACCCCGGAAAAAGCAGCTTTGCTGTCCCCGCCTGAAAAGAGTTATGGTATAGTTAGGTACTTTTAAAATTTTTCATATCACCCTTTTTTGGCCCTAAGGGTTGTTAGTTGGGTAATAGATAATGTCCAACTTGACTGAAAGTATTATGGGGCTATGGGCAGGAATGTTTTTAAATATATTATTAAACATATATGTAGTTAGTCGGCAGTAAAAATATCCATGCATGTTTATCAACGATAAAATATAAATGCAAGTTTGAGCTTGTTGTTTTTGCTAGAACGGAAACGCTTATCAATTATAAGTAAAAATAACCGTGAAATATGATACCTTTGTTTGTTCCCACATTAAACGTCGGCGGCATGCTGATTTATGAATTTTTCTTATTTACCACTACGGCATCCTGTAAAAGGATACAACGGACTTCACACTATGTACGCTAAATGGCGCCACCGATAACATAATGACGTCGAAAAGTTTGGGGTTGGCCCCGGGTCAAATCCCAGTAATTTCAGATCAAAGGCGCCGCCGATCTATAGATTTTCCCACGATATCGAAAATTTTCCCAGGCTCAGGTCCCCTCATTACTACTATACCATTTTTATTCAACTGATACTGCAATGATGAAAATATCCACATACCTTTAAGCTAATGACGTAACGCCTCTCAAATTATTGTCGCAGGTTTAATTGACCTTTTCAATTTAAAAGCCTCTCTCTCTGGCATCAATATGTCAGACGCCAGTGGTTTGTAGACAAGACTTTTGAAAGAAACTATTATTTCCTCGGATTTTTCAAGGTTTTTTCCTAACAATGGTGATTGTGTGTAGTGTGCCTATTCATAAAAATAATTCCTATTCACTGGCGGACGTGTCTTTCCATAAGTTTCCATCAAATCCTACATTTGTCAAAATTTGGATACACAAAATCAGAAAGGATACCTGCAAAAGAAAGGGAAATCCACGTCCAAGTTGAGTTGGCTGAAGCTGTTTGCTTCCAAAATAATCCACCACCGTCTCCAAAGCGAAGATCTGCGAATGAAGCAGTGACTTTTCCCACATTTTCTTTCTAATTTCAAACCCTGCGTTTTTATTCATATCAAATTTTACCGATGAATCCATCTAGTTCGGTCATTGTCATTTTCCATTCACTTAACAAAGATAGCTAACTCATCGGTGAAGTCACCGATTCGAATAAAAACGAGGGGATTGCTAATCACCCAATAGGTACACATTGACATTGACAAGCAAGCAAATGTTGGCGGGAAAATGAATGTTTTCATACTTATCGTCCATCTCTTTTAATTGAAAACGTCAATTGTTTATTCTAAATAAAAATAGTTTATCAGTATTGCGGCTGAACGGCTCAAGCAGCAAGCAGTGTAATTTCCTATGCGATGCGTTTGCCTAATTTTTCGGTTTGATGGTGAACATGTTGATATAATTTAGCAATATATTGATGATAGGTAATGAATAATTGAAGCAAAAATTCCAGGAAAATCCTTATGGAAAAACTTGAGACGGAATTATTTTTGTAGAAAAATATTTGTATAAATGAGTCATGGGTCTGTCATGTTGACAATAAAAGTCACTCGAACTAGCGGCGATTTTGATCCGAATACGAGCTAAAACGTTGTATTGATATGACGTAAATAATAATAAAAAAAAATCTCCGGCTTGTTGTCGCTGGTTTCTTATATTGAGACGAGAGACCTCAGCCTTCTGATTGGTTAGAGACTTGTTAGGACTTGCTTATCGCAGGATGCCAACGTAATAAGCAACAATAAAATTGAAACGATGGCCCATATTTCTAGGAAAAGTTCGCTGGCGTGTGCAGATGGATACGAAGCTGATGATTGGCTACAGACTAGTCAGAGCTTGTTTATCGCAGGTCACAGGAAAATAACAAGTTATGGTATCGCTGCGGTTGCAATAAACGTTGACGACCCGATGGCGAAACGACGTTTTTATTATTAGTTACGTCATCATCAGACCCGATGGCTAAACGACGTTTTTATTATAAGTTACGTCATCAACAGACCCGATGGCGAAACGACGTTTTTATTATTAGTTACGTCATCATCAGTACAATGCACCTTGAATGAGGTACCAAGTCACGAGGTGCTATGTGTGTTCGATCAGCCGCTTGGAGCCAGGTATGGTCAATGACCTTGAAGCAGCGACGGCTGACCAGTTAGCACGACCAATGAAAGACATGGGCACTGAAAAGGGGGCGGGGCTTATTCCTGGAAATTTTATCCCCACTCCAAAATGGTACAAAAAAGTGCAGAATGAACCTTAGATTTTCTTATGGAGATTTACATGGGAAAATGACTGATTTTGGCCCCGCTCTGTCCTAGCCCCTTTACTCTAACCCAACTTGACTAACCCAATTTAACCCAATTTAACCTAAGCCAAGTTAACCCAACTTAACCCAATTTAACCTAACCCAAGTTAACCCTTTTTTTTTTTTTTTTTTTTTTTTTTTTTTTTTTTTCGAGGGGTTTAGGAAATCTGCAATTCAGACTATCCCCGCCTGTTGTTCTGGCGGCGGGGGGTGTGTCGGGTTCGACCGACTAAAACCCTTTCCCCTCTTCTCCTACCACCATGTGGGACCGCATTACTTCGCATGGTGAAGTGTATGTGTCTCGTCTTCTACTCATTTATGTTTTACATCTTCAATCTTTGCCTTCAGTATTTCCCTGGCCATATTTATCACTGCGCTCCAGTTTTCTTCTCGGTTTATCATTTTCTCCACAATGTTTTCTGGGGTGATTTCGCCTGTTTCTGCTGTGCAGGTTGCTCGTTGAGCGTTCCATTGTCTGCAATAAAAGAAGGTGTGCTCGGCGTTGTCGACCTCTCCGCAATATATGCACTCGTTGTCTGGTGTCCTGTTTATCGTATATGTGTAATCTCGGAAACTCCCATGCCCCGTCAGCAGTTGTGTCAAGAAATGGTCCGTTTCTCCTTGCTTCCTCCCTATCCACGCCGAGATACTGGGGATGAGTCTGAAGGTCCATCTCCCCTTTTTACTGGCTTCCCATCTGTTTTGCCATATTTCCGTCGTCCTTTCCTTTGCCTCCGCGTTGGCGGTCTTTTTGTCGGGGCCGAGTGCTTTTGCCACTTGTGTGGCCTGTTCTGCCAAAAGGTCCATGGGAGGTGTCTCCGCTATCACCAGAATAGCGTCCGTAGGCGCTGTACGATAGGCACTGCAGATTCTCAGTGCCGCCTGTCTTTGTTGTCTCTCTACCAGCTCCCGGTATTTTTTGTGTCTTAGGGCCCCTTTCCAAACTAACCCAAGTTAACCCAACTTAACCCAAGTTAACCCAAGTTAGCCCAATTTAACCCAACTTAACCCAAGTTAACCCTTTTTTTTTTTTTTAGTAGGGGTTGGAAATGCGTTATGCACGCCCAGGGCATTGGTGTTCGGGCGCCCTGGGTAGTGTGGGACTCGCACCCACTAAAACCCTTCCCCTACTCTTCGCAAATATCCCCCCCGGGACCACCTTGCAGTATTACTTCAGGGGGGGTTGCAGTATCTGTGTCTCTCTTTGTAGTCTGTTGCTCTACTTCAATCGTCTCTGCCCGCCGCAGTGTGTTTTACGTCTCTTCCATCTCCTTCTCCTGCCTTTCCTTTTGCTCCATTATGCCCTTTATCATCCTATCTATCTCCTCCCATTTCTCAATCTGGCTCGTCATTTCTGCTATCAAGTTTTCCGGCGTGAGTCTGGTCCCGATGACCCTGAAGCATGCTTCCCTCTCTCTGTTCCAATTTGGGCAAAGAAATATGGTATGCTCTGCCGTGTCCTTTTCGCCACAGTACACGCACTCGTCATCATCCGTCTTGCCTATTTGCTTTGTAAAAGTTCTGAAGCTACCGTGACCCGTCAGTGCCTGCGTAAGGTGGTAGCTTGCCTCCCCATGCCTTCTGTTCAGCCATAAGTCCAGTTGTGGAATCAGCCTTTTGGTC